TCTGAATTGTGAGCTCCCTTGGCCCCTCCCCAACATGCCTCCTGTCCAGTTGTCCTCTCCCAACAGAGGGCCAGATCTGGACCCAGTCACCGTCAAGTGCAGCCCACAGCACCCACTTCTCCTTTGCAGTGCTGCATCTCTCTGTGGAGGCCTCTGGGATTCCAGCAGCTGCCTCTTGTCCACAGGTGTGAACAGCTCCTCCCATGTAGTGAGTCTTGATTCAGGGAGACGGTACTGTTTGCCGCCACTTTCTTGACTGAAGTTTCTCTCTTCACTCTCCCTGTGAACTTTAATTCCTGCTTCAGATCTCTCCTGGGCCCAGGAGACCCACTTTCTTCTTCTTTCTCATCATCTCATTGCTATATTCCAGTGTCTGGACAGCAAATCTCAGAAAGACTTTTCTGTTTTTGCTACTTGCCACTCTGACATCTTCCCAAAAGATAGTAAGAGTTGTAGAAATGTTCCAGATGAAAGGAAATTAGAGATATGATAACTAAATGGAATGCTGTACCTGATTCTAGACTGACTCCTCTAAGGGAAGTAAAAGAATGTCCTAGAACAGTGGCAAGCATGCTGCAGCAGGCAGTTTGTATCACTGAAAACTGTAATAAGTTTGCCATCACTGCTGCAGGGGGTCGGGATATAGCTAGGTAGTAGAATGTACACTAACCGTGTCCAAGGCTCTTGGCTCTACACACTGAAAAAAGGACAAGAAGAAATTGGAATATGGTTAATAAAATGTTTTTTAATTTTTTTTTAATTTATTTGATACAGGGTCTCACTATGCAGCTCAAATCCCTAGTGATCCTTCTGTCTCAGCCTCCCCAGCACTGGGATTGCAGGCTTGTGCCACCACTCCCAGTTTCAGTGCCCAGCTCAGTGTGGGGTCAGCATGGCATGTGGTACCTGGGATCAAACCTGGGTCCTTGCACTTGCCAGGTAGGCACTTAGACTGCTGAACTATCTCCCAGGCCCAATTTTTGCAACTTTTTAGAAATTTGAAATAATTTCCAAATAAATTTAAAGCAAAACAAAACAAAAACCAATTAACCCATTTCTTTTGTTTTACTCTCACAGAGCTGATGATCAAACACTGGGCCTGAAGCATACCAGACAAGTGCTGTACCACTGAGATGCAGCCCTACCCTTCTCCCTTCTCCCACCCACTGTCCCTGCCCCCTCATTTTTTTTAGTGTTATTAGAGATTAAACTCAGGGCCTCTGGAATGAACTGTACACAATAGTCCTGTTGGTACTTTTTTTTTTTGAGACAGGTTCTTGCTAGCCACTGAATTTGCCCTGACTGGGTTTGATACGGCAACCCTCCTGCCTCAGGCTCCCAGAGCACTGGGGCTATAGGTATACACCACCATACCCAGCTCCACTCTCTGTTAAACTCACTATAGTCAAATGATCTTACCTCACAACTCCACTGAAAAGTACTTGTCAAGCCTACCAGTTACATCTAGTTTGTAAATGTAATGAGTTCTATCCTTTCTCTTACTGCACCCATCAGCAGTATTTGAGTTTGTCATTCCTTTCCTTCTTGAAATATGTGCACCTCATCTTCAGGACATTACTCTTATATGATTATTTTCCTATATTCCTCACTGCTCCTCCTCAGTCTATTTAACAGTTTACCTTTATGGCTCCTTTATCCAATATTTATAGTGCCCCAGGGCTCAGTCCTCAGAAAAAGGTCATTTAGAAGTTTGTATTTGTACCTTGGTATGAGTACATAATACTCTTCCAGGAATGTAAAATCCTTTGAGGTCTTAAGCAAGGTCAACTCCTTATTACTCATATCTTGCTTCTTGTACTATCTTGAGCACACACCCTGAAGGAGGAAAGGGAGTTTGGAAACCCT